TCATTGATTCGCACAAGTTGGAGAACGTTGATACGTTTACAGGTTTAGGCGTTCTATTTGACCATAGATTACATTTTAACTTGCATAATGAGCTCTCGTTAAGCAAAGCTAGTTCCGCGCTTGGTTTTATAAATGAGCGGTCCAAAGAACTTGATGATCCTTACATTATGAAAAGGCTGTACATGTGTTTGGTAAGACCCATACTCCAGTATGCCTCTCTTGTGTGGTCTCTTTCATATAGGTGCTACGTAGATTCAATTGAACCTGTTCAAAAGCAATTCTTGCTGTTTGCTCTTAAAAATTTGGGTTGGGATCCGATTGCCTCTCTTCCCCCCTCTGAAAACAGGTTGCTTCTGCTGTCCCAACCGTCTCTTGAGAAACGTAGGTTTGTTCTTGGCGTTTCTTTTCTAATTAAAGTAATAAATGGTGCCATTGGCTCGCCTTCATTACTTGGTGAAATAAGCTTTAATGTCCCTAACCGCTTCTCTAGGCAGTTTATCTTGGTTAAGCTTAGTCAGTGTAAATTTAATTATGAGCTGTTCAATCCGCTCAGAGTCGTTTGCAAGAACCTAAATGACGTCTACCACTTATTCTCTCTTATTATCGGACTCTTTAAAGTCCATTAAAGCAACATTGCTTAATACGCGCGATTTACCTATGTCGTATTTAAACTAGCTTGTATCCTTAAAAAGTCGTTACGTTTCGAAAATGAATTATTGTTAATTTATTATCGGTTGCCAGGCTTATGCATGTTTGCGATGGCTTAGGGGTTCATTTGCAATTTGGTTCTGTACCGGTTGTAAGTGTGGCCCTATGCTGATGATGTACATGCTTTTTTTTCTTTTTTCTTTTTTTTCTTCTTATTTGTTTTATAGTACTTATACTAAATTTTATTATTAATCAATATAAGTTTTGCATTAAGAGCCAATTGAACTCGACTGTTATTTGTTTAGTTGGGTTTCTAGTATAAGTAGAATAAATAAATAAATAAATACATAAATATACTCACTAATTTTTTTATTTATTTTATTTATTTTGGTTTACCCATTTGTGCATGAAATTCAACTAAAGAAAATTATATTCGAATTCAGTGCATCTTAAGAGAAATTGTTTTAAAAACTGGTGTGCAATAAAACTGAAGATAAAAAAGAAGAATAATAATAATAAGGTAAGTTAAAAATAAATTAAAAAGTTAAAAATAATAATTCATGTATAAATAAATAAAAAGGGGGGAAAAAAAAGAAAAAATAAAAAAAAGCATGTACACAGCTAGCACAGAAGGTACACCCGCAACAAGAACAGATCCAGGTTGCAAGTGAACCCGTAAACCATTGCAAACATGCATAAACTTGGCAACCGACACGTTAACAATACAATATTATTTTAAATAAAAAAAAAAGAGTTATTAAGAATGAAATGTTAGTTTAAGTACGACATAGGCAATTCGCGCATATTAAGCATAGTTGCTTTAATAGACTTTAAAGAGTGCGATAATGAGAATAAGTGATTTAGCCTTCTGCAAGCAAGTCTGAGCGGGTTAAACGGCTCACAATTTTATTTACCTTGATTAAGCTTAATCAAGATGAAGTGCCTAGAGAAGCGGTTAGGAATATTAAAGCTTATCTCAGCAAGTAATGCAGGCGAGTCAATAGTACCATTTATTACTCTGACTAAGAAGAAAACCCCAAGAACAAATCTACGTTTCTCAAGTGGTGGTAAGGATAATAGAAGCAACCTATTTGCATAGGCGGGAAGAGAGGCAATCGGGCCCCAACCCAAGTTTTTAAGAGCAAACAGCAAGAATTGCTTTTGAACAGATTCAATTGAATCTACATAGTACCTATATGAAGGAGACCACACAACAGAGGCGAGTATATGTCTTAGCAAACACATGTACAGCGTTTCCGCAATATAAGGATCATCAAGCTCTTTGGACCACCTCTTCATAAAACCAAGCGCGGATATAGCTTTGCTTATGGTATTAATTTGTCGAATTCTTTAGTTTTCCTTCAATTTTAACAAGTAAGAAAGTTATATTCGACGGGGGCCAAATCTCTTATACCCATTACTGTACTTTTCGCATTCTACTCTACAAGTTCTTTTATTTGATACCCATGTCGCTGGTATTATTAAGAAGCAAGTAATCGCGGTGTCTACCAGAGCGTACATATAATTAGAGGAACTAATATGTAGGTATCGTCGAGCCACCAGTACCTTAGAAAAAGAGAAGGAACAAAGAAAGCAACCAGTAGTATAGTGGTAAACTGATGGCGCCATGTATCGTCAGTACGGTGATGGGTGTGCCAGTACTTCCCATTTCAGCAGCAACAGTATATCTTTGACAACAATTGCAATAAGTGGCCAAAATAGTATTTTTAGTCAATTCTTTTTTCAAACGAACAGGTACCAATAGGACGCATAAGACTTTTTCTTTTCATCCAATAAGTATTCACTATCTTTGAACTTTTTTGGTTCCCCAGGCCGTTCTCTGTCAAAATCACCACTCTTGAACTGTCGATACCAAAACCAGCATCACCATAAGTTTCTAAAAGTGTCTGATGGCCTTCGTCAGTAAATTTGTTCAAATCAAACAACAAAGGTAATGAATGTCGAAACTGCAATTTTTTAGCGTCCCATATTAGCGTGTGTAAACACTGAAAATCTCAATAATACTGTTACGAAAATCCCAAATTCAGTTAATGTCAGCTAAGTAATTTTCGTAATAATAAATTCCCTAAAGAAGGAAAAACCAAATGATCATTCGCAGGCGCATCATGCAGGTGCAGGCCGATGAAAACGATTAGGGGAAAAGCAGTCTGGGATTAGAAATACAACCATAAATTTAAATATAGTAACATTCTTGTAAAAATGTACATAAACAGAATATTTGTGGAAAGGAGAGTTAGTCGGGCAAGAACATTTGAGCTGAGAGTACGGCCAAAATAAATTGTGAATAATTCTACTGTTAAGAAATATAACTGTAAATAAATACTCCTACTGTTGTGAAAGACAAAGTAGTAAAATAAAAGAACTTTGAAATGTATTTCTCTTGATCGAAATATCCACGATCTAGAGATATGGACTGTATCTTAATAAAAGCGAATTTCATAACAATACTAAATTGAATACTGTTCTTTTAGGTAGAGAAAGGTTAAAACCACCGTTAATCGTTATATTAACTGACGCTTCGCATTTCTTTATAATTTTTACCTGTAAAAGTCGCGTATCAAAATGAACGCGACCACCTAATATATTGGGCACTCTTATTTCGTCTATTCTACTGCAAGGCACAGATTCAACTGCTGTTGAAAATGTACAGGAAAAATGTCTAAGAAAAATTTACACCAAAAATTTCTAATAAAGTTATTGCAGATATCTTCAGGTTATAAAATCATCACTTTTCATTAACCCAAGGTATGTTTACAACTTGAAAGTCGGATCGCTTCGGGCATGAAGTTTATGTTCATTTTGCAAAACGTTTATCACGTCTAGAAGCAAGCATCAGAGACCCCACAAAGTATTCTCGATCAGTATCAAATTCCAAGTTGATAAGCATGTCCGTCTGTATAATGTCTGTTGTACACATTCTCCGCCGCAAAAATAAAGCTATCGGCTTCAAATTTGGCACAAACAGTGGAAGTTCTTGCACGCAGATTAGTCTTGAAAGCAGACCAAATCGGCCGAAGAAGACGTCCACAGCGCCACGTAAACTAAGAATACCTCTGTTTTTCAAGGGGAATGAAAAATTTGGTTTTTGCTTGCTACTCATAAACTATGTACAAATGCACAAAAATTTTAACGCATATTCTATGGGTGATGCTGTAACATTTGTGCAGATATTTAAAAAAAAATGACCACGCCCACACAATATTATAGTGAGTCAAAATTTAATTATTTATCCAATACCTTTATAACGCACAGAAACAAGCTTCAAAAATCCCATAAAGTATACAGAATCTTGGTCAGCTTCAAATCTTGAATGCACTTAAATATGACCGCCTGTTCGTCTGTCCATCTGCCTGGTTACGCAACTTTGTGGTACTTGTGGTAAACACTTTTCCATTAGCGAAAATGAGAATGTCGTCTAAACATTTGCAAATGATTTTGAAATTGAAGTAAACTTTTCAAAGGACATGCCTACAACACCCACTTTCTTATACGACAAAAACTCTTATTTTGAATAGGAGAAATCAGCTGCGCGCACTATATATATACACATTGCAGAGCGTGAGAATGTAGTTCTCTTACTTCTTTTGTCTTCTTTTGGGGTAAACGCTGTTGGGTATAAACGATTCGGTCCCGGGCTAATTTAATTTTTCTACTTGCTTTTCTTTACTATTCTTTATATATTTCGTTCTAGTTTTTATTAATAATTAGTATAATATTTACCTCTAACAGTTAATTGAACTCGGCTGCTAGTTTATTTTAGCTGAATATCATGTGTAATAATGTAAATATAATATAGCAACAAAGTGTAATTTTTAGTACTTCATGAAGAGAAGGGAAATAAAATCGTTGACAGGGAATTTCGATCCGGTCCACATTGATCCATGTTTTTGGCCTGCTGCAGTATAAGGACTCTTATGGAAAGCAGCCCTTTTCGTGAAACCAGGATGTAATTATTCATTTATCGCGAAAATAAATGAAGAATTGCATTAGATATTGTAGTATTTAATGGCTGGTTTTGATCGGCTATATTTCTATTCGTTTCTTTAACGCTAGTTTATTATTTGAGCTATTAAAAGTTTCTGTTGTGTCACCAAATAGAATTGTTTAGAAGCGTGATTTAGCGGCACTAACCAAAGGAAGAGCGTTTATCGAAGTTCAAGCAAAAAATTTCTCATATACTTTTTAACCTTTTTTTTCTTTTTAATACAAACTCATCACAGAATTCTCAAAGAGAGAACTACAATTTTTTTATTCGAATATTTATAAAAATTTATATTTATAGAAATTTAATGAGGAAGAAAAAATGTGACGCGTAATCCAATAAGCTGCCACTAGCATGCGACTCCAGGAGTCCAAACTTTCTTATACCAATTACGTAAGTGATAGATTGAAGCAGCTCCACCATCCCAGTGTTCAAAATCCATTTCCTCCTCTATAGTCCACGAATTCTCTTCGATATCATAACTTTCAAGAATTGACTCCTTACCAATAAACACGTAAATTCCATCTTCCATATTCAAAGCCTTATGCTCATGTCCTCCAACATTCAAATCTGACAATTTTTGCCATTTATTAGAACGTGCCTCAAAACGTTGGCATTGCCTTTCTGCGTCATATCCCCCAATACAGTACAGCGAGTAACCACGCGAGGCGACATCAAACCATTCAATACCGATTATGTTATTATTAAGATTACACCATTGAGCTTCGCGTGGGTCAAAACGGTTATGCAACATTTTTCCATTCCCGCCACATCCCAAGCTATAAATACTATTTTCAATGACTGCCACGCCATTATTCGCGCCATATGGTGCAGGAGTATCTGGACAATTGTACCACTTGTCAGTTATAGGATCGTAGTTTTCGACAGTTGTATTATTATTTCCACCGACCGCGTAGATGAGGTCATTGCAAACACAAGCACCATAATAATGGCGATCGTTGTGCATAGAAGCAATGTGCGTCCACTGGTTAGTGATGGGATCATAACGTTCTGCTGTTCTTTTGTCACGTCCACCCATAGAATAAACAAAACCTTTGAAGAAAACTGTAGAATGGCTTATTCTATCCTCTTTCATAGATGAGATGGTGAACCCCTTGTCATTGTATACATCATACAGTTTACAGCTGCTGTGTTTTTCACCTATTTCCATGTCACTTTCTTCAGTGTTATCGGCCGCAGTGTCATCTTCTTCATTATCACTATATTTACGATCACCATTATCAGCATTACTAAAGCCACCGGTAAATATCACGTGAAGCACGCCATATCGCTTTTTGTTCTTTTTTGGAGATTCTAGATTGTTGGACGAATCTTCTCGTTTAATTTCTCCGTTTAGCACGAGTTCCTTACGCAGCTGATTGTTTTTGACCAAAGGTTCAGCAAGAACGTGATTTTTCAAAAATTCAGTTTCAAGAAGAGGTAAACGGATGTGGCTCATTAGTTCTCCGAAATGAATTTGTCGCCCCTCTTGATTATACTTTACCCAGTTCAGTACGGCTTGATAAGCATTTTCTTCAAATTGTACATAGAGATCATCCGCTGTTATTATTGCCTTAAACTGGAAAGAAGAAAACTTGACTTTATTTAGAAATGTGTTATCTCGAGACTGCACTGGAGTAGCTATAATTTAATTGTTACAATTGCTACTATAGATCAGTTAGCACGATTGGCCACTTGTCTGCATACCTCCTCGAAGGTCAACGTTAACAACTCCTCACTATTAATTAAACGAGCAAAGTGTTTTAAAATGTAATTGTGACAATAGTCGAAAAGATTCTTATTGGAGTGTTTATCTGCAAAATTGTTACATTTTAAAGCTGAGTACGTCTAAAGGAACTGTTTAAACCTACCAGCAAAATCTCGCATATTAAAGCAATTAGTTAGCTTCACTGCATCTTTCAAAAAACTTTCACATTTGCCCTTTATCCACTCCATTTGAAGAAAGTCTGATGCAAAAAAAAGGGCCGTAATGTTATCTTCGGTAATTGTAATCTCACCGCTATACAAATAGTCGACAATTGCTTTCATAACAGTCGGCTCAACATTAGTAAACGTTACTTTTCCTTCTGCTTTCTCCTTTAGATCGTCTGTAAAAGTTTAGAGATTTGCTTATAGATATTTCCTCATCTTAGTTTGTTATGAAAATGCTTACGTTGAAGCATGGCCGCGAAATAGGGGGAAGCAGTTGCAAGTACCTCTTTATGAACATATATACTTTCATCCCCAACTTCCAGAGTAAAATTGGACTGTTGCCAAGTGAAATAGTCTTACTTTAGATTTTACTTTCATTCGTTTTCGTGATTTCCATGCTTACCTCTTGACCCAGGCGCATTTTACTGAAGGCATCAAGCATAGCAGGCTCGTAACTTGCGTTGAAGTACGTTTTAGGAGAGATTTCTTCGCTTACGCTTTCATTATTTACAGACCTGAAAGCATAACACAAATATCTTGAAAATCGAAGTTGAGCAAAATGTATCAAAATTTAATAAGAAATCTATAAACTGAGACGAATACAAATATGCAATTAATTGGTTTACTGTTAAAATAGATTCTTGGCTCAAGTGACTCAAAAACAAAATGTGTTAAAAATTCAGGCTTTTACTAATAGAAACTCTATGAAGAAACATGAGCGCATATGTACAGAAAATTGGAACATTGCCAGGAATGACAGAGACTCATCCGAAATTATTCGAATATTGGTAAACGCAATAATCAGTTGATCAATTTGTCTATTGTTTGAAAAAGAATTTAATTGTGGTTTTACTTACATATCGAGGTAAAGGATATAATTAGGCCCAAGAGCTACTGTAAGTTTATTAAATTATTATTCGGTCGAACCACACATACGCTTCAGCTTAGATATGAGACGTATATAGTTGTCAAACGTTCAGTTTGAACCAATTGTCATAACTCTGTCTAGCTTCGCTAGAGTTTGCAGCAGTTGCAGAAGTTTAGATCTTGAAACTACATACGAAAAAGATTAAAATATTTTGCTTTTTATTCGTTCGCTTTATATTTTATATGAGTAACACAATTCTACTTTCCTTTACTTGCGTTAAAGAAATATTCCGCTTTGCTGAACAATTTTCCAAGCAGGCAGATTAAACTAATAAATTTTCCTTACTATTCAATAAGTTAGCGGGCTGACTAAGTGAGGCGTCATTTGCATTTTCGCGTTAAAAACTCCCGTGTGGTAAATAAAATGAGCAACCGCCCTGCCATACTGTTTTATTGTAAGCAAAAACATGTGAGATGGTTTTCGAACGAAAAATAAAGAAATCATCGCAGACATTGCAATCAGAAATGATTGCGCTACATACCAGTTCCTCTCAAAGATAATCTCTGAATAAAGAATTTCTTTTCAACTCCTGTGAAATTAAATTCCTAAATTGCCTTCTAACAGGTCACAAGTGTAGTAAAGCTTATCTCCATATGATTAAGTCCGCATCTAGAGGTCTTTGTAACGCGTGTAACTTAAGAGAATCCGCAGAGCACTTAATCATCAACTGTCAATAAAACACCAGTAACGGGAATCGTTTCAATTTTTTCCTATCTCATTATCTCCTTTGCGGGTTCAGAAACCATCTTTTGAGCAATGAATGAAGGGTTATTCAAAGAGCTGACTTCCTCTATTAAACGAACCGGTATCAACATCTCATATCATCTCTGTGTTCAATGCAAAAGATTACCGTCCATCGTCAATTAATTTCTTTAATTTTCTGGTTTTCATCACATGGCAACCACAATCAATGATTGATGCGAAATCACTCGCTTTTTTTATAATTCTTGTGTTCTACACGCGCTACTTACAGCGTTATTGCCCAACGTATAAAATATCCATCATCTGGTCGAAAAACTGCAATCACGAAGCACACCATATAATTTAACCAACAAAAAGAATGAATTATGACTTATAAAATATTTATTGGATGATGATGGTATGCAAAATCTCTCACTTTTATTTAAAATAATTGTTTCAACTGTACGCAAAATCGTTTACGAAGCATACGAATTCATATGGAAAGAACGAATGTGCAGGATGAGAATAATTCAGGGTTTTAATAACATGTGGGGCTTAGCTTATAGGGTTGGCGCGAACACGTTACTACTGTTTGTTGCCATAAGACTGGATCTCTCTTGTAATTGTCCAGGTAAGTGTTTATGTTAACAAATAAGTAAATAATTTTTATAGAATTGCTCAACAGATCATTTTTCTATAATATCTGTAGTGCAAACTTTACTTTCACGGCTGTAGATGTCGCAGCTTGTGGTTCTCAAAGCGCTGGAGGCGTTTGGAGGATTTCCGCTGTTGGGCGGCGGCTATTTAGTAACAAATTCGACATTCCCTTAACAAACGCTACAACGAAACTCAAATGTAATGTTTCTACACTTCGAAAGCTTTTTGTGTACAAATTGATCCATAATTTAGAAATCTAATAAAACAATTTGATGAATTTATTTTAACCTTAAAATACAAGGCCTTTATTGTGAGTTTTTTATTTTTTACCAAATAATGCGGTATATACTTAAAATAAAAATGCATTAGTCGCAAAAACATAAGATTTGTCAATCCTCAAAAAGTTTTGTAAATAGTCGAAAAAATTGAAGTCCTAACTCGAAAATAAGAACAAGACCTCACTGTGTCAACGCCCATAGACTTCAAAGTAACTGCACGGAAATTTAATCACTTTAAACAAAGACAACTGTGATTTTTTGCATAATTTTAACTAAAAGCCCAGAAATACCCGAAATCCCTGTTAACATACAAGCCTTGTTTGATGTGTATTTATTGTTTACGATATCGAGAAAAGTCGTTCGTAACTTTCTATTTTGGGTTGATTATGTATGATGTTGACTCCTAAAATCAGTTGTAAAACTGCTATAATGTAACATATTCATAAGAAACGTAAAATATTCTTACGAAAAGCACCTATCCACATAAAAACATTACTTAATTTCATTAGCAACAAACTTTCCCACAATGTTGGGGAAAGCATCAAAACCAAACAATGATTTTCGATGTTTTACTCGTTGACGCAACAAAATATTATTATTACTATAATTTATTTATCCCCAAAAAATAAAGGGATAAAAGTAAGATAAGCGCTAGTAACTAACACTTTTGGATCTATTCTACACAAAGTACTATATGCTTAGCCTTTTCGTTTTAACAAAGTTGCATACATTTTTAACATTATGTTCGGTTGCTACTTTCAACATTTCCATACAATCAATCATAAATCAAAAGGATGTTGTGAAGAAATTGGGAAAAAGACTTCTGGAGAGGATTAACAGTGAAATTTAGGGTTTAGCAAAAACTACATAGATAACCAATTTGCTTAAAAATGTCCAACGGGAGATGCAACGAACAGAATCAAATCGAAACAGGTACCGAAACAAATTATGCTACGCAGGCTCCTTATCAATAGATCAAGTATGGATTTCATTTTTACTTACTTGCTTGATTAGATTTAAAGAGAACAGTTCGGTTGCCCAACAATTGACTTCGAGGGGCTGCTACCAAAACCAGGCAGCCTGTTTCAACGAGATTTTGTATCGAGGATATTAATAAAACGTTGGAAATGCAAGTATGTTACATTTCCATGGAGTAATTGAAGAAAATATTAGTACTAACGACAAGATTATTGCTAAAACTACATAGGCTGTTAAGTTTGTTTCTTTATAACATATTCGGTGAAAGTAATCGCAATTATTTTATTTGCTATCTTTAGCATTAGCAAAATAATCGTTATAAGGCATGAAAAGTTGCAAGATTTTTTAGTAGCTTTTATTTATAAGAAAGGACCCTTAAACATTTAAATCCAATTATTTTCTACTGGTCTAATTTTCGAGATAGCTATGACGTATACCTATTCATACCAAAATGAGTAATTTTCACTGATGATAGTCTTATCGAATTGCCACAGTTGACAAAACACAGACAAGAAGGTGAAATTTGACACAAATATTTGTTGATAGATTAAAGACTCAAGAATTTGAGACAGTCTATAACTTGCAATTCCGTGACGACATGTCCGAAATCCTGCTACCCAATTGCTCGATTCAAAAATGGTCCTGATCGGTTTGCATTTAAATAAATGACCAGTCAAATTGTACCATTTTCAAAGAAATACACGCATGCAAAACGTCGGTTTTTGTAGCCCTAAATGAAAATAGGGTTATAGTTTGAAAAGTAAAAATAAGGAAATCAATAAAAATACAACTAATCAATGTGTTTTTGGGGTTTGCATGGATATGGATGGTCAGCGGATTGGTGAAAATGATAAAGTAATATGAAGGATCAATGCACGCAACGATTAAATTCGACGATTTTGACCTTTCTCTACATCAAAGAGCCGTCTTCCATATACCAGTACTATCGACTTATTCAGTGTATATAGACGCTACTCATAGGAAGCTCAACAATGTATTTTCGAGGTTCATAACTTTTGTTGGTTGACGATCCCAAATGCAAAAAGTCATAGGTTAGTCCAAGGGAACCATCCTCATTGACACCGAAGCGAAATATTCATGGCCAAAAGATTTCGTTATGCATATGATGGGACTAGCAAGGTGTACGAGCTGTTAAACCAGTTGAAACTGTTGCTGCAGATGTCAACCGACATCAATTGAACAAATTGAACGATGTATTGTTGCAAAAAAAAAAAAAAAAACCAGCAATAGCGGTTAACAGATGCAAAATCATCCTCTTGCGTTCGTTGTTGCAATTGTTGTCAAGGAAACACTGTTGCAGCTCGAGCGGGAAGTTCTGCCACACCCAGCATACTCGCCAACCTCCTGACTACCACTTGTTCAGATCAACGCAGCATGGCTCGACTGATACGCGGTTCCACAAATTGAAGAAGTGCGAAAATGGGTCGATGGATCATGCCAAACCAATACAACTTCTTTAGATGCGGTACCGCTATTTTGCCAGCAAGATGGGAAAAAGTTGTAAAAAATTTGATTAATTTATATTAGACCATTTTGCCCAATAAATGCCCTTTTTAAATGAAAATCAAAATACATGTAAGCACGTAATATAAAAAATTAAGAAAATTATATTCGGCTTGGAAAGGATCTTGTATATCGAACGGCACTGATTGCTCACTAAATGGTCGTCTACTCCCATCTGGGGATAAAGAATCTGAACAGTGTGCAATTATCTGTCCACTGTCACTTAAAAATAGCGATTAAAAAAGCATGAAGAGCTAACCCAACTAAACTTCCATATTTTATAATAATCAGTGGTCGTGTTCAATTTGTCTTATTAAAGACAATCTGTGTGTTCAATCGTACAATGGATTTTTGAGTATTTTGTTTTACTTACCTTATGACTAATAAGTGGGAGACCTGAGAAAAGTGAAAAAAATAAATGAAAATTTGACCACTTACAACTTTGTGTGAGCGAATTTTCTTCCATTTTGAACATGAGGGTGGGGTCTTTCATAAACTGAAACTTAGAAAAATTCGCCAATTTATAAGCATTTATCAAAAGCTTTAGTTTACGCTTTGCTAACCTTCGACCCATTTTCAATACCAACCTGTGTGCAAGAACTTCCAATGTTGTTGCCAAATTCAAAATCGATATGTTAATTTTTGGGACCAGGAGAGCACCAGCAACACACAGACGGATATATAAGGTCGAACAGAATCATAATTTGGAACTAATCACAACTATGTGTACTTAATAGGATTTCTAAAGCAGTATGTTGGGTGTTTGGAGATGACAATCCTTTCTTCGGCGGTGGGTACAAAAATAATAAGAGGAAAATTAAAAAAACAAGGATATAAGAATTTTTTCTGAAAAAACCTTTTGCTAACTTTCATAGTTGTAAAAGTGAAAGAATGACTTGTTTACGGATTTAAATTTTATGCGTAAAGATTTTGAACTTGCTATCCTAACAAAGATTGATTTTTTCTACGATTTTTATTTGACAAAGTCGTTTTTGTAAAATCTATCTTCGATCAAACATTAAAGGAAATGGTGTCCATTTTTCAGAGAATATCAATATCGTAGTTTTAATTTTTAATTTGAACGAATTTTTAGCTGTTCTATATATATTTTGTTGGAATCGCATAAAAGTTGTGCATTAGAGTTGTGCATTAGAGTTGAGACACTCAACACAGAGGCAGAAAATTCTACTTTGAAAAGATTGACTATATTTTGTAATTTTTTTTTAGATGACCACTCGGTCAGGAGATTTTTAGTGCACGTCTAAACACGCTGACCATTAGGAACGTTTATAGATTGCTAGGCGGTAGAAGGAATGAGCTAAGTTTTTCTTTATATAGGGAGTTCGTATTTTCGTTTATGATCCACAACAGTTACATTTGCTGCGTGGGGGTGGGTCGAAAGTTGAATAGACAAATTTTAAAGTTTTATCTGTGGCTATCAACGAACATCTTTCAAGTTCCTATAGAAATTTTTGCGACACTGAGTATTTCGACAATACACGACTGAGTTACAGGGCTAAATCAGACCATAACGTTACACTGATCAACGCTAAGTACAATCTATGAAGTCTGGAATAGCACATAAAAGGATAAATCTAATACACTGTATTCTTCGCGGGTAGGCACATAGTTTAGCAATTACTTATCTCTTGATTAAAAATATATTACCAAGTATACTTAACTGATTTGTGTCAATTTTCATATTCACGAGCATTCGACAACGAATAGGAACCGATAGTCCAAAAAGCGACGCTAAGAAGTTTACGCTTCCAAAACATTTTTAAGCTTTTGCGCAAAATTTTGTTATAACCAATAGACCAAATCTAATACACAGCCCTTATTTGATGATGCTTTCGATGAACCCAAATCAATTAATTCTGTTATGCCCAAGTCAGGTATGTCTGTTCCATTTGCTTTGATTCAGCAATAGAAGTTAACTCAGCTTATTGTTCTTTACTATCAAAACAATCGCAAAATGAGTAGCCTGAATTTAATCGGTTTAATCGGGTACATAAAAAGTTTTATGTGTTTAGTACTAAGCAGTAAAATTTATCAACCCTAATATTGATCAAACGGCCTAAAAAGTTGTTGTAAGTGATTTAACTGTTTTTGATATTCAAACAAAAATCGACAAGACGATTTTATTTTTAATTCAATTTATTTTGTCAGAGCTTACTTTTAATTTGATTTCTTAAAAAACAAAAAGAAAGACATGGAGAATGCCGAAGCAACTGTCGGTCAATTTCAAACGCTGGTGCGATATAATAATCCAGTATTGGTGGTTAAGCACCCGGATAAAAAAACCGCTCCTACTGAATTAGTAAGAAACTTAAAATTCTCATGGTAGTAGTAGGAATATATAACCTAGTGTTTATTTTATTGTTATCCACGTACAGGAATTGAAACGACCGCAAACTGCCGGGGCCTTATTGGACACTAAAAAGGAAACTGAGGAGATTTTAAATTCAATTTTGCCTCCACGTTGCTGGGAGGAAGATGGTCAATTATGGCAGCAAACGGTATCGAGCACTCCGGCCACTCGTCAAGATGTAATAAATTTACAAGAAATGTTAGATACTCGCTTACAGCAAACGCAGGCAAGAGAGACTGGCATTTGCCCCATTCGCAGAGAACTTTATTTGCAGTGTTTTGGTATGTGGGATATTTTAGACGAAAATTCCCTTTTATCTTATATAGCAAAATATTTTAGATGAAATTATACGTCAAGTAACGATTAATTGTTCCGAACGTGGTTTACTTTTGCTGCGCATACGCGACGAAATTGCAATGTCCATGGAAGCGTACGAAACTTTGTATTGCAGCTCTGTAGCTTTTGGTATGCGGAAAGCATTACAAGCTCACGAAGAAAAGGAAATGTTAAGAGAACGCGTGAAAATACTAGAAGTAGATAAGGAAAGTCTAGAAGACATTATTAACGACATGAAAATTAAAACCGAACAAACTGATCGTCGTAATGCCGAACTAAGAGCTGCCGAAGAGAAAAAGTATCAAGAAGAAATTGCCTTTTTGAAAAAGACCAACACTCAACTCAAAGCTCAATTAGAAGGCATTACTGCCCCGAAGAAATAATTACTCAATGGAAAATATTTAGTTTTTAATTATCTCTTTGTTTATATTATAGCAAATGCTTTATTCCATGATATTTGTGTTAACATCTTTTGACTCCCTTTCGTGCATTTCCTCGTCGTCAATGGATATTTCGTTAATAATTGTACTACGTTTGAAAGGTTTTGCTGACGTTTTTGATGGCTCCTCAATTTTCTTACCATTGTCTGTATTTTTGCGCGGCCTTTCTCTATTGGTTTCTGTTCCCATATCGAAGTTTTCAGTCATCGTCTTTGATGTAACTTCTATGGGCAAATTAACATTTTCTTCACCCTGCAATTCAATTGTCATTGGCAGCTGATCTTTTATGGTTTCCATTTGGGTAGTATATAGTTCAAAGACGTATTCAGCCATTTGGGTCATGTTATCAACTATCTTCACGGGGTCTGCGGGATTATCATCTGTTAGCCGTTCGGTGGGGTAACGTTCACTTTCAATTAAATGAAGCTTCTGAGGGCGTTTTGTTAGCTGGGAAAATTAATTTAATTAATAATTATTTATTTAATTGTTTCTTTTAATTACCAGTTTAAATGTTTTTTGCAATTCGAAGCAATTTCTAAATAGATTCATTCTGCCAAATATATAAAGACCTAAGCGGGCACGGCTAGTTGCAACAACCAAACGTCTAACATCTCGTAAGTGGCCTACAGCTTTTGTGCGTACTAACGAAATAAGAATGTAGTCATTCTGCTGACCCTGATACTTATCCACTGTGGTTATTTTCTGCGGCCAACCAATTATGGCGTTGTTACCACAGCGAGCATTAATAACATCACGTATCAAATGCTTTTGGCCATTGTAAGTAGTTAAAATTGATATCTTCTCGGCTGGATAACCTTTTAAACGCATATACATGTATACGGCTACTATGTATTCGGCTTCGGCTAAATTCTAAAATCAAAATTTTACGTTTTTTATTGCTTTAGCTAGTTAAAGATGAGAATTCACCTGATAGAAGAAAGGATTCGGTTCAGATTCTCCTACTCCATTAAAGTCATCCACATTAATAAATTGATAATCGTAAAGAAAACCAGCATTGGCACGCTGATATTCTTTATCAATGCGAATATGTTCGAGATCATCGAGTTTCTTATAACGCCATCTATACAGAGAGCAAATGCTTGAGCGAGCACGTCCCTGACCATCCAGATCGACAGTAGGCACACCCAGGCGTACCAGTCTTGTGAATAGACTTTGTTCCATGTTGGAGTATTTCTGAAAGGCCATATTTTTAACCACAGGTGGCAATTGATGGTGATCTCCAATCATAATCCAACGTTTAAGTCGGTTGAAGCCATCTAAAGGATTTTGCAACAATAATGGTATAAAAGTTTCAATCTCTAAAATTTGAGCAGCCTCTTCCATGAGAATGTTGTCATAGCGAAAACCTAAATTAACCAACTCTTTGCGTTTGAGAGCAGCATGGGTGCAAGTCATTGCTATTACCTTTGCTTCTTTTACTAGCAAATACTTTGAGCGATCTAAGCCCGTACGCAATAACTCGAAGGCTCGAAATTCTTCAAGCTCGGCGAAAATATGCGAAATGTAGCGAAAACATGATTTGGCTATGTCCATGTAATCGTTAAAATTATTTCCACTAAACAAAGGTTGAGGAGCAGCTGCAAAGAATTTGGTAAATGGAAACCTGGTTTCAAATATCTCGCGCCACGAAGAACTATCATTTACTTTTGTCGCGTTAACTTCAAGTTGGAATTTTTCCCAGCGAGACATTATGTTACTTAAGAAGAAATAGCCGGCTGTTTCACAAGTATAGGCATTGTCACCCAAAACGCCCAAGGACTCTTGCAATTTTTGGGCTTGATTCAATAGGTCAATACGTTTGGCCAATACGTAGTTAACGCGCCCATATCTACTGAAGTCCTTTTCGGTTTCTAATGATTCTTCCCCATGACCTAAACGTAACAGGTGGCGTTCATCGATGTCCAAGCACATGATTTTTTCAAAAAGTTGATTTAGTGCTTGATTGGAATGAGTGACTATTAAAGTGCGTTGATTTGGATGATTGTGATACAGATTGGATATGATTTGCACGGCCACATCAGTTTTACCAGTACCAGGTGGTCCGACAACTACTGTCAAACCAGGTTGCATGCCGGCACGTATAGCTTCAATTTGAGTTGCGGTGAAATTAATTGAATTTCTAGGAATTGTAAATACAAATGTAAATCATTTAAGCTTGCAAAGCCGATAGCGCGACTTACTGTTTGGGTTTATTGCCTATATAAGGGCCACGGGTTTCAAATTGGTATGGCATAACCGAAATAGTGCTTATCGGCGACGTAATGGATTCCTCGCGGTCTTCTCCTTCTCCTTCCGGTGGTGATGCGTTATTCTTAAATACTAGACGAAAGGGTGGATTTCGCTGAACTTCCGGCCTATCACATTCGATTTCGCAGTTTGGAAAACTTTTGCTCAAATGTTCATACGATAAAAAAGTATCGTTGAAATCTAAATTTGACTCCTGCAAAATTTTATGTTATGTATTAAGACAACCTTTGCTGAAGTAGTTATGCGCTCCTTACTTGATTGGGCATTTTAGAGTAATGAGCGGCGCTGGGATCTCCATATCCTAAAAGTATGTCATGTAACCATCCCGGCACAACGCATTCGGTATTCATGAGATGTCTTATAGTCTCCAGAACAGCTTTAAAATTGTTTTCCTTGGGTTTCCTTCTCATTATTATATTAAAATTTTCATACACATCCTCTGCTCCCTAATCGAATTCAAAAGAAATAATAATTACTATCGGAAGTTAATATCAACCAAACCTCTTGCAAGGCGTCCATGTCCAAACGATATTGATTGCAGTCCAACCACACCCTATATGTTCGCTGTTCTCCTGGCAGTTGAGGACGGGGTTCTGGTCCATCTTCTATTACGCGGCCATTAGCATCAAGCATACCTTCTACTTCGCAGCCACGCACGCAAACCAAACCCACTTGTGGTATAAATGGTTCGTGAGGATTATATTTTGTTCCTAATTAAGACGAGATACTGTTTTATACTTCTTTCCTTGATTTGTCTTAAACTCTAAGCTTACCATAGGGCTTCGTCGGTTTTACGGTAATTAGAAAACAAACGTCATGTTTGCGAAGATTTTCCCACTCATCTTTGATTTCCTTACGTACCGACAAAGTCACCGAGACGTCGGCACGAACCCTTGAAGGCTTCTTTTCGCCAATATGTGGTTTTGCAACCTCGACTACAGCGAACGATGCGATAGGCAAAGCCATACGTGCCCAACCACCGAAGACTACTTCTTCCTCTTCGGATAACCAAGGCAGCATGCGGCTCACGGAGTCCTCGATATCTTGGCGTATTTCGTAGGTAGACTCAAGACGGAAGAGATTGAAATTACGTAACAAATAATCGTGCAAAGTTAGAAATTGAAGATTCAATTTTGGCAATGCCAAACAACCATCGCCTGAGTAGTATTCGGTAGGCACGATATTCTCATCCCAAATAACTAGCTCTGTAGGATACAAAGGCATTTCATTTAAAGCATCCAATTGGGAGCAACGTCTCTCATGGCGTGTTATAAGCAATTCCTTTAAAAATCGGCTATCTAAACGATGCCATTGAAATGGAGTTTTCACATCTTCGGGTACCAAATTCAAAAATGATGCTATTTGCTTGAGAGCATCCCCATCAAGATTACCGAAATGACGTTCCAACGCTTCGCGGCTATCAACGCTGGCAACGTTAGAGAGAGCGAAGAGCCTTAAATCAGGAAATTTTGCAAAAGCTGCTCGCTGCAGTGAAGTAATTTTCTTGTAATGCAGTTGAGTCATATCATGATCAGTTAGTGAGTCACCTGTCACATCATTGATCTCAAAACGTGAGTAAAACTTTAGCATATCCAACAACTAAAATGAATACCAAATACGACATTTTTAAACGATTGCAAAAACGAACTTAGCCGAAATATCGCAACATCAACGACACCATCTCTTGAATATCTAAAAGATTTGTTGTAAATTATCGAAGAGAATACATTGAAGTATTGTTTAACGGCTACAACGGTTGCCTGCATAATATTTTTAGACAGAGAGTCTTAGTTCTGGGTCTCAAGAAAAACGGGACAAATTTGATCCATGATGCATAAAAAAACGCCAGTAGTTTCAGTGTTAACAATATAGCTCAGCGACATTGAGCGAAAAGAAGAGATTGAAAGAGTATACTCTTTAACGATAAACAACTATATATCAAGTTTGCTTGAAAAAACTATTATATAGTGAGCAAATGCGTATCTACCACGCATAATTAATGAGTAATTTAACGGAGAGAGGCAAGAATGAGAGAACAAGAGAGATAGAGCGAAAATATAAATACAACGGAAAATTAATAAAATCTAACTCTGTACTGTACCGAATAGTATACAAGCGTTTCAGCATAAACATGTTTAGGGCAATAACTGCTTAGCTCTTCTTGTATAAGAGAGTATAAAATGTTAATAATTTTGAGAATAAAGAATAAATTGAACATCAAGTAAAAAGTAAAAAATAATAAATCTGTAAACTTTTCTATTAAAAAGTTCAGAAACAATTGCTTTAAAATTAATTAAACATATATGATAAGGAAGTGAACTTTCACTTATAAGCCTGTCTTTAGATGACCACTTGACGCATTGACAGTTGTAAAGGCGTCATTTCACTACACTCAGTAGACAAAAAAGGGCATTACATTTGTGTATGTGTATTTATGTAAAAGGTGCTCAAATATAATATAAATCATTTAATGAGCAAAAGCATGAGAGTGCGATCGCTATTCCTGTGAATGTGCTGTGCAAATGAAAAATTAATAAGAATTTGTAATAAAAATAAGCCAAGAAAAAATAAAGACCGGATAAATATTTTTAAATATTGTCAGATGCCACCGAATTGTTGACCAATATTCGCGTAAAGGCTGAGTAAATAGCTACGATTTGTTATGGCTAAGAATGACTGGTGGTTCACTGGTGCTTGGGTGATCCTGTTATTATTAATGCAAACATGCAAATCATTAGCTAATAACGCGACACCGCAAAGTGCTATATCCTCAGAGCAAAGTGATGAGCAATTGGTGCGGGTTAATAAATGTTGCGAAAAATTTGAAATATACAATGATTCGGAGTGCACGCAAGTAAATGAAATTGGTAAATTGGAAATAACAACATGAGTGTTGCTCGAATTCTTGCTCATTTCTATGATATTTTTCATTTTAAGATTATTTTCGACCTGTCTTCACCAGCTATAAAGGGGAACATAATGTATCGGTTAAATATAAATTTGTTATCGGTTTGCCGGCATGTGGATCCACACAATCTTGGCCTATTTGTCATTATCAGGGTGTAAGTACAATATTGCTTGGACTAGAACAGAATTGAGAAGATTTACTAAATTAATTAAGGTAATGTATTCAAGAGCCCAGATAAACTAGTGCTATTGGACGACGGCAAGTTGCGTCACTATACCATTACACAAGAGGAGAAGGAGGAGGAATATTCGGACGACGAGCAATTTGATGATACTCATAAGCCGTTATTTTATGACTATCCTCAAGGTCAATACTGCATTGAAAGGGTAGGCTTCCGCGAAAGTATTTATTGGCTATTCTTTAAAATTTTATTTGAATAAATTATCTAATTATTAGGCCGTTTCTACCATTGGTAGTCATCGACAAATTTTATATGCTAGCGTATGTTTGGCTAAAGACAAGGAAGATTCTGGATTCCTTCTGCGCAAAGTTGTAAATCCTATATTTCACGGAATTTCAATAATTATTTTACTTTTGATCGCCATCGTATATTTTGTATTGCCTACTTTAAGGTCAGTGGGTTTTTCTTTTTTTCAATTCTGTTGTAAGCAAAAGATTTTTTTATTTTCGCGTGGGACGATTCACGAATATTCATTAATTCTCGTGTATTTATGCTTATATCAGCGTTTCGTCTCGAAATTTTAAAAGATTTTGATTTTGTCGAGGAAAATATGAGTTAAAGCGTTTTTAAAACAAAGGAATCAACAGAACTAAGATTTTAGCATTTTTATGTGAAATTAAAGCCATGCAAAAAAGAGGAAAAAAACGCCGCCACGCCGCTTAGAAGACCGCATTGTAAAATCAACGTTTTTCAAGACTTTTTCAAATTCTTATCCACATCTTCAAGTTTCGATTATATGCTAGTGTTAAGAAAGTTAACATAACAGGGTTGGATGACGGAAAAAATCTCTATATATACGGTGGAAGATTCTATGGCAAAAAAGCTTATATTTTGTAAACGAACGTTATAGACGAAACAATAATGCGAACTTTTAAAAATATTCATGTTTAAAGAAAGTATGACTGAATATTCGATTTATTAGCTCGCATATTCGCGATAGGCGCGCGTACGGCGAACCGAAGCCATACACAGATTTTCTTGTGGCAAATGCGTTTAACAATGACGTTTTAAGAGGATAAAAGCACGCAAATGTTATTATTTTGAACGAACTTCATCCGATTGTAAACGAACCATGTTTTGAGTGAATTTATGGCGGAAAGCAGGTAGTAACTTTAAGTTTCCTATTCCAATGTCAGACACACATGCGGACAATAATAATAATGTTTACATCGACTTATCAAAACTTTAATGAGCATATTTCCGTGTTTTAAAAAAGAAAACCGAAAGACAATCTCGGAGAGCTCATATAAACTCCTATGCAATTAAGTAAAGCGTCTAAAATTTGAATAATTTTCTATCGATTTGTTAACTCTACATTTTAATGGTTCTTTACAGGGATTTAGTAGGTAACATCACCACGACAATATCATTATGTTTGATGGTTGCCCAGGCTGCCGATCTTGTTTGCATTTTCACCGAATTTACAAATCATGTCAGCTTCATTACCGCTGACATTATACTTTACTTTAGCATTTTGGCAGCGTTTTTCTGGCTAAATAGCTTTGGTTATTATATTTGGAAAACGTTTCGTTCTCGCAATGTATTTTTACGCGTCACAGATGGGCGAAAATATTGTTACTATTCGTTTTACGTTTGGGGATCGACCGCGGCTTTGGCAATAACAGCTGTCTTCGCACACTTCTTTTTGGATATAGATTCGGACAAAAAGCAAAATTTAATAGCTGATCAAGAGACGATAGGATGGCTGGGTATTGCGATATTTTTTTCGCCTATTGCGTGCACAATACTTGTTGATGTCTTCTTTTACATAACGACTTTAAAATTGATAAACCGCCGTAATGTTTATGGTCGTATACAGCACAAATTGAGAGCCAAGTATTGCTAATTAAGTTGTCTTTCTCTTTTCGAATACGTTATTATTCGTCTTTTTTTACAGTTTTATTATGTTTGCTCTAATACTATTGGTTATGACAATCAATTGGTTGTTTCTGTGTTTATCATGTTTGCAATATGAAGGCCTCCTGTACGCCCACATTATAGTCAACGCTTTGCAGGGACCACTATTGCTCTACATATGTGTTATACGTCAGAAGCATGTTACATTTCTCTTGAAGAAGTCATGTTGTTATAACGAACCACCGTCAGCTAGCGATTGGGGAGATGAAATGCATTATATGAACGGCAATAATTACTGATAACTTTTATTTTTACAAATGACTAAGAAGAGCAACCTAACATATTTGGTACATAGTACTCATAAAATTCCACCTTTGTGCCGTTAATATGTAATTAGAAATATTTAAGCAGGATTTTAGTGTAATTACTACAGACTTCCCTTTCTTTTTAATGTACTTAATAAAAATTAAAAAGACTTTAAAACAATAAAAAAGACTATGTATTCGAAAAAATTTCTCAATTATTTCTTATCGCGCATTTCTTAGGGAGAAGCAATGTAGTTATTCCCGAGGAGACAAAGATAATCAATAGTGAAATACTACTTACCTGACCGAATAGCTTGCCTTCTGGACGTTGCACTAAATTGCAAATTTGTGCACGCACTATAAGATGACAATCGTCCAGCAATGTATTAAAGAAACGTCGTGTAGGCAAGAGAGCCTCTAAATCTATCATTAATTCCAGAAAGCGTTCACAATACTGTATGGTACAGGCTGAAACAACGCCATTCAAAGAAATGTTTTCTAAAATTTTCAAGAAATTTATGATGAGATTCTGTAGAAAATGCCGTTCCCAATTAATTGTGAGCCTTGTCTCGGACTTTTCTTTTTTTTGCAATTTGCGCCAATATTTACGCCATTCTGGTATCTCATGTAATTCTTGCTCCAAGCGTTCTGGTGTAAATGAAAGTTATATATTTGATTAATCCTTATATATGTTGAGACATATCTTACTTGGTTGTAAACAGTTCCAAATTGAAAGAGATACCAAACGTTTTACTTGATTACGGCACAATTCAATTTCCATACTATTGAAACAATGATTTAGAAAAACGATTAAAGCAGTTTTCTCACGCATTTGACATTTTTTCTCGTCAGCTAAACAATTTTCAAGAGCATGCATGAAAAAATTCGGAAATTCTTCCGGCATATCTTCGAAAGTATTCCATACTTCCACACGTTCTCGAAACTTTTCATTCACCATAAAAACTATCGACATTAAATGAGCGCTAGTAGCTTCAGATCGTTTGTAATTAGGCCATAAATACTTTTCCAAATACTGGCTAAATTCCAACAATATTATCCTTCGGATGGCATTTTTATGATTTAAAATCTCTTTCGTATAAATATCCTCAATTATACGAGCATCATAGGGTAAATGCGATGACGCAGTGTCTGTCGTCACTTGCCAATATTTGGCTGCTATCTAGAATAATGATTCTCTTAAATATATTTAAAGCCATAAGCGTTATTATTACTCACCTCCCATATAACATCTGAACCAATTTGTGAGACAGTGACAGGACCTTCATTCTTGTTATTTGAATTTCCTCCTGTCTTTCTATCCGAGTTTTTGTTAGAATCCTCAATATGCATTTCTAACGCTAAAGCGGTAAAACGTGAAAAGCAACCAATAGTTATCAAAACAAAATTAGTGTCTTCCTACTAAATTGGTACAAAATAAGTATAACAGCATGGGTGGCCATTTATCGGCCCCCGTCACAACTTTTATCTGTGAGATATTAACATTTAATATAATTCTTTAAAGTTCTCCAAATCTTTACCAACGTATTACTGTCATCTTAAAATGCTGTTTCTCTACTCTTTTTTTTTATTATTTATTTACCTTCTCGCAACCATATGAATGATTGACTTTGCTGAATGAATGATGACTAAGGCGCCACTGCAATGAATGATTAAATTTACAGTTTGATGCAGCGACGTATAAAGGAAAAAGGGGTTTATTGTTTTTAATAAATTATATTCAATGAACAAACTGATATTTAAATTCATCTGGCATTGTCTCATTGTTCAATTTGCTTTTCTTTTGTTTAATTTCAAGTACGCACCATCTGTATGTGAGAATTGTCTAAAGCAAAACACCTTAGCTGTTTACATTTTCCCGAACTTGGATACTCTGCCTATGCAGTAGCTTGATTTCGTTTGCATTTAAATTCATCTGGCATTGTTTCACTGTTCACTGTGCTTTTTTTGTGCCCTCTTTATATGAATTATATGTTGATGAACACCTTAAAGCAAGTTTTCGCGAGGCATGTGGAAACGTCTAATATAAATATTATTAATATGTTTTCAAATATGTTTAATGAAAATTTCGTTCCTTTAAAGAAGAACTGGATAGAAAGTTTGGAAATGTATCAAAATACACGAAAAGCAATTGGTAATTGTTTTTAAGTTGTTCATACTGAGCTTTAAATAGCTGATATTTTATGACTAAAAGGGCTGCCAATTTCATTTTCTGCTGAACTTATTTTTTGCGGGGTTAGTGATAATAACAGCACTGTAAGTAATGGTGATTTAAAAGTACAATTTTATTAAATATCTATCATAAAAGTAAAGAAAAACTTTTTGAAGCGATAGTCTTCTCTCACACCGCGTATTAAAGCATTGCCAACAATGACTAATAAAAATATTTATAATACAATGCTTGCCTGAACTTGCCTTCTACTTATAATCGTTGTTCCCATATAAATTAAAGTATGAAAACCATGAAAAGAATTTATACAGGAACGTTGCTAAAAAGTGTTTAATAAGTGTGTATTAATATATGCTCATATAGTACATGATCAAGTATTGTATTAATTTATTTTGTTTAAATTTATACTAGAAAAGGGGAAGGGGTTGGGGGAGGGTAGGAGATATATGCTTAACAATGATCGACCATGTCGTGCTGTTAAAGTTAAGACCTTTATAGTGAATAAAAAGTTGTACAAAAGCTCATTTATTTGCTTTTAAGCCTTACATAGTGATTTTTTATTTAAAAATGTTATGTTATTATTGCAGTAAAGAAATCTACATTTGTTTTGATTCTACAAAGACCGGATAATTTTCTATTAATTGTTTTGGTCTATCAATGGAATTATTTCTATGATCGCATCGTAGTAGTTCTTAGTTTTAAGCGAAATCGATTTATTTTTGAAAGTTTTCGAAAAAGGTTAAAGAAAACCTATCAGCCCGATTAGTTCTATTGTCGTCCTTTGATTAGATTAAATGGTATTCGCAACAGGAGAAAATGGAAAAGTAGGAAAATTATATTCGATCGTGACCGAATCTTATTTTACCCGTTAGCGATTAAAAAAATATTTAAAAGAACTACTTTTTTATGCTCGATAAAATTGGATGGGAGTAGTTCACTTTTTCATTTTCAGATTAAAAGTGGAAACCTGTATGGTGTGTGTGCTGCATTTTATGCGTAATAAGCCAAAAACAGCGAAAACAAAGGGTTTTTGTTGCAAAAGCGTGTGGAACTTGTAGCCGTGTCCTATAACCAGTTTTGCAAATTTCTAAACGATATTTTCATTCTTGCGAAGCAGGGAATGTTTGCCTCAGACAGTCGGATAGAAGGACAAACGGACAGATGGACATGCTTAAATCGATCTTGAATTTGATGCTGATCAAAAATATATATGCTTTGTGATGGGAATAAAAATGCAAAAACATATGTAGGTAAGCAAGCCGTCCACTGAGTTCCATCTGGGCAAGAAATGCAGTTCGTAAAACTATGGAATGTAGTGTAGAATATTCTACTGCACCATATAATTTTTTATATAGAATAGACTATAGAGTAGGCATACGAGTATATATAGCGTATTTAATTAAAAAAAAATTTATTTACATAACATTTCTTTTGTCTTCTTTCATTCTCTTTTTTTACTTAATATTTTTTGTTTTATTAACTTATATTACAGCAGAAAACTATATTTAATAGTCAATGGCGGTAAACTCGAACGATAAATATGTTGATTTTACCATCGGGAATGCATTTCTTGATTGAAGATTCTTTTCAGACGCAGGTTTCGGAAACCCACTCTCGGTCTCTCAGCATCGCCCTCAGGCGATGATCACTTACTATCTGTGAGCCTCCAAACTATAGCTTATATCGTTTCCACAAACCACGTATCGCTACATTGTCGCTCTTCTAAGTTCCATCAAGCATGTTTCCTTTGAAATTTATGTCAAAGTTTTTCAAAACAGAATTTCGCTACAAATGTTGAAAAATTCATAGCAATATTTATATTATATATCGCGAGTTAGGTTTTCTTGGGAGATAAGCAGCACACTTGTCCCTCGAAACTGCATCTCCAATTTCTGCAGTATCCTCCGGTCTTGGAACTTGAAGCGCGCACTATTGCTACGTCAGCTGCTTTCATTTGAGGTCCGTAACGAGCGCTCCCATGAATACTATCATACTTAATGACAATCTTCATGGCACTCATACACGCGAACATTTCCTTTAACCTTGTACGTGCTTTTTCTGTGTGCAATATAGCGCCTTCCACCCTTCATGAGTGATGCGGTTCCCTTCTACTCAAATTTTAGTTTTGGTTCCAGTATAAAAATCGGGAATTTTCGTTTATTTCGAAGCCTTTCGTCTTCAGAAGTTACTTCGTCCGAGCTAACTCTCTTCCTTCTATTACGCTTGAATGGTATATTTTGATCTTCTTTTACTGCCTTTTATGGCGATTCCTTTGGTAGTTCGATAGCCAATAGTCTGCAAGAATTTGAGAAAATGTATACGTGATGTTAGGATCTAAATATTTTACCAATTTAGAAGAATTTTCGAAACAGATTTCCCCTTGTAAATCCAGTACCTTTGAATGAATAAAATTTAAGTGTAAATTTGTTCACATTTTTCTGAAAATTCTGTATCGAATAAACTTGACATTTATTTCATGGCCACGTATCTGTACGATGGAGACTTGACAAGTAAAAAAATTGTATTCGGTCAGGATCGCATCTCTTATACCCATCACCGTTAACCTAAAAAACAAAAAAAGGAAAAGAATTAAACTTTCACTTTCTACAATATTAGGTGGGCGTGGCAGATTTTTTCCATTTTCAGAATAAAGTGAAAGGAAATTTATATGATGTGTGTGTTGTACTTTATGAGTAACAAGCAAAAAACACAGAATGCAAATAAGTTTCCACTTTTCGTTTCATAAGCTTGGGACGTTTTAGGCGTGCCTTTTTTAATGGTTTAAATTCTTTCATCTTTAAATTCTTTTGCAAATTTTTAAGCGATATCTTAATTTTGGCGAACGGGAGAGCGTTTAACACAGGTTGGGCAAATGAACAGAGGGACATGCTTAGCTGCATTTCGGATTGGCAACTGGCCAAGCGTTTATATTCTTTATGCAGTTTTTGAGGCTTGCTTATAAACAAAACAACAACAATATTTGTACAAATTCCCGGGCGCCGCTCGTAGAATATACGTTTAAGTTTATATTCGGTACTTTATAAATAATGAGTAAAAAACAAATTTTTTCCTTTTGGAAAGCATAGGTGTTCTCAGTTTACGTGATACTCTAGGCATGTAGAGCAACTAGCGTGCAAGAACTTTCAATTTTTCTGTCAAATTTGATATGGATATCTTCGTTTTTACGGCCAGGAGAGCGTTTACAAAAAACATTATAAAGACGGAGGGACAGACATGCTTAAATCGATTCGGAATTTGATGCTGACGAAAACTATATATTTGTTCTGTGGGATATTTGAAGCATTCTTCTGAGCTTAGCAAATGTTTTGACAATATGAATTCAACCTTCGATGATGTATGCAACACCCAGAACGACTTGAGATACTCCCAGCTTTTATTATATATTATATATATTCAGAGTTACCAGAGTAAACTTGTCTATCCGTCTGTCTGTCCATCAGCTTTTTCGTCTCGTTTTCTTGTGTTCAGCCTACGGGCTGCAAATTTTTGAAATATTTTAATGAAATTTTGTACAACAGCAAGTTTTGACTTAAGTATGAACGCTAGTGAACGCTAGTCGTACCGGACTACTTTCAATATAAAGGTTTATTTGGAAAAATCAAACTATATGAATAATTGAATTTAGCAAAGTAACGTAGGGTATTTAATTGTGGGCCGAATCCCATTGATTATTTGATAACTAAAAATTATAAAGTTATGAATTTGATCATCGGCCCGGGGCACAACGCGATCCCAATCAGCATCTTTACTATAAAGATTTAAATTGGTGGGATCGTTTCATCGTATTTTAAAAGAAGGTAAAAAATCACTGGACTTGAATGGTTATACTGTTATTGTTCCTGGCATATTTGGCAATGTGGCTCAGCTGGCGTGTGATCTTTTGATATCCTTCCTCAAAGCAAATAAAAAAAAATCGGTAATATACACCAGGCAAGTTTAATACCTACATGTGGACCAATGCCCGGAATGCGGAAGATTTTGCAGAAATCACCGAGCTCTAACCAATCATCAGATGTTAAAAGCATACTTTGTTGTTTCAGAAACAGCTGCAACGTGTTGATGCAAATGGATTATAAGTCGTAGTCTTTTAACAGCTACTTAATTTTCCATACTTACTGAATCGTTTATACCTAATTTTTATTAAAATTATGCAGAAACATAAACGTATGGTGGACGTATGAGACGCTTTCAAGTATTGAAATCGCAGGTTTTCGCTATACGGAACAAATATCTGAAAGGCAGTGTCTTTGAAGGATCGAACATGGGGCGTGCTTTTCACCGCCGCAATATAATTATTAAAAAAACGAATTGTAATTCATTGTTTTTTATATTTTGATATTATTTGATATTTATAATAAAAATAATTTGTTAAACAAATACAGTCTATGGAATCTTATTATTATTATTATTTTAATTTTGATTTATTGACTATTCT